ATCAAGCGCTCAAGCTTTCCAAAGTGATGCTCTCACTTAATCCACTCTCCTTTCACTCAAACCCTAAGGGAATCGAAGATTAGAGCAAAGGGGGAAGGAGAGGGGTGCTTTAGTTGCTTGGGAACTGTTGAGCACGAAGTGGGTCAGCTGTGAAATGAGTCCGTAATGGTTAGAAGTGAAGAGAGGAGTATTTATACTCCAAGTGAAAATCTAATCATTCAGATCTACGTCGGAAGTTCCAACGCAAATCTCGAGACTTCCGACGTTAATAGAAATCACTGTTCACACAAAGTTAGAAGTCCACGCGTGCAAGTCATTGTCGAAACTCCCGACAAATGTCAGGACTCCCGACGGACATCGGGACTTCCGACGCGCGCAGTCAGTCAGCCATTAAAGCTCTAGGTGTCGAGACTCCCAACAAGGTGCGGGACTTCCGACGGTCGGAAGTTCCGATGTACGTCGGGACTTCCGACGGGCGCAGACAGCTAGCCAGCAGAACACAGGTGTCAGGACTCCTAGCTTGGGTCAGGATTTTCGACTATTGGGAGTTCTGACTCACGTCGGGACTTCCGACGTCCACAGTCACCGCGCAGGCTAAGTGACCGAGAGTCAGCACTTCCGGCAAGAGTCGTGACTTCCGACGGTCGGGAGTTCCGGCTTACGTCGGGACTTCCAACACCGACAGTAACAGAAAAAATAATCTACGTGCTCGTGAAGTGCTAGAGTGTCCCCTTTTTATTTTATTTTTATGCTTGAGCACTCTATCTTCCTTAGACCAAATAAATTTGCATCCCTCTTTATAGTGCGGCGGATCCTAAAATCAAAAACAAAATTAAAACATTTGGAGAGCGTTTTGAGTTCGTCCACCTTTACGACTTCAAGAATTGAGGGATCTCATTTCATCTTTATCAACTCTTTGAATCTTCCATGGGACAAATAGTTGCGACATATCTCATTAAGATCACATTAGTCCCTAATTTGGATGTCATCAATACATCAAAACCCACATAGGGGGCAAATGCACTTTCACATAGCTATAGTATGGCTAACCAAGCTGTTCAACCATATTTTTCGATCGAACAAGATGCCTGACAAGTGGAGAAGCATATTGGTACCGATCTATAAGAATAAAGGGGATATTCAAAGTTGTACTAATTACCGGGGAATTAAGTTAATGAGCCATACTATGAAGCTATGGGAGAGAGTTATCGAGCATCGCTTGAGAGCAATAACACGGGTCTCTATGAACTAATTTGGTTTCATGCCCGGAAGGTCAACCATGGAAGCCATTTTCTTAATAAGACAAGTTATGGAGCGGTATAGGGAGAAGAAGAAGGACCTACACATGGTTTTTATTGACTTAGAGAAGGCTTATGATAAAATACCAGGAATGTTATGTGGTGAGCTTTGGACAAACATAAAGTCCCAACGAAGTACGTCGGGCTCATTAAGGACATGTACAACAATGTTGTGACTAGTGTTCGAACAAGTGATGGAGACACGGATGACTTCCCGATTAGGATAGGACTACATCAAGGGTCAGCTTTGAGCCCTTATCTGTTTGCCTTAGTGATGGATGAGGTCACAAGGAACATACAAGGAGACATCCCTTGGTGTATGCTTTTCGCGGATGATGTAGTGCTAGTTGATGAAAGCCGGACATGAGTGAATCAAAAACTGGAGTTATGGCGGGAAAATTTGGAGTCCAAAGGTTTTAGACTTAGTAGAACTAAAATTGAGTATATGAGATGTGACTTCAGCACTACTACTCGGGAGGAGGAAGATATTAGTTTGGAAGGTAAAGTAGTGCCTAGGAAGGATACCTTTAGATATTTAGGATCAATGCTATAGAGAGATAGGAATATAGATGAAGATGTTAGCCATAGAATCAAAGCAGGGTGGATGAAGTGGCACCAAGCATCTGGTGTCCTATGTGACAAAAGGGTATCACATAAGCTAAAAGGCAAGTTTTATAGGACGGCGATTAGACCTGCTATGTTGTATGGTGCAGAATATTGGCCTACAAAAAGATAATATGTTCAACAGATAAGTGTCACGGAAATGTGTATGTTGCGTTGGATTTACGGTCATACAAGAAGAGATTGAGTTCGGAACGATGATATACGTGATAGATTAGGGTAACACCAATTGAAGAAAAGCTTGTCCAACACCGGTTGAGATAGTTTGGACATATCCAACAGAGATCTCCAGAGGCACCGGTGCGTAGTGGAATCCTAAGCCAGGATAGTAACGTGAATAGAGACAGAGGAAGACCGAAGTTGACTTGGGTAGAGGCAATAAAAGGAGACTTGAAAGGATGGAATATACCCAAAGACTTAGTCTTAGATAGGAGTGCTTGGAAAACAGTTATTCACGTGCCTGAACCTTGATGGCTTCTGGTGGGTTTCAACTCTAGCCTACCCCAACTTGTTTGAGACTTAAAGGCTTTGTTGTTGTTGTTGTTGATGTTTGTTGTTGTTGTAGATGTTGCACAAATAGATCGTGGGATTTTGCATATGTTGCAATTGTTTCAGAGGCATGATTTCGAGTGTTTCAGATGTTTCAGTGGTATGTTGCAAGTGTTTCAGATGGATGTTGCAAAACTAGATCGGGATGTTGCATATATTGCAATGGTTGTACATGTATGTTGCAAAGGTTTGTTACCAGTGTTCCATCTGTATCTCTAGATGCATGTTGCAAGTGTGTTTATCTGGATGTTGCATATGTTTCACACATATGTTCCATGTGTTTTATTTGGAGTTGCGTATGGTGGTTTTCAAGTGTTTTCAGGTGTTTCTTTCAAGTGTTTTAGAAGCATATTTTAAAGTGTTTCATCTACCTTCAGATGTATGTTGCAACTGTTGTATTTGGATGTTTCAAAAGCAGATTGGGTGTTGCATCTCTCCTCCCTACCTTCTGTTGCATCGTCTCGGTGTGTCCTCCTCCCGGCGCCGACAGGGTCCTTCTGAATCGGAGGCCGTCCCCTTCCCCTCTTGTCACTCGGGTGGCACGGCCTGCGAGGAGCGCGCGAAACGGAGTGCAGCGTACGGGTGTCCGTCCAGACGTTCGGACATAGCACTACCATAAGTTTATCTGTTTTTTGAAATTCTTCTAGGGTTGGACATTGGATTATGCTAGTTGATCTTGAATCCTTGTGCAGCTGTGCTAGTTATTGCCTGTCTAGTTAGTGACTATTGAATAGTTGAGGTTGACCGTGAAACGGTAAAGGAAAATGGGCCAAAAATCGCCATGATCTATTAACTACTTTCGCCGGTCTCTAAAGCTAGATTCGTAGCAGTGCTAGTGCCTAGTGCGACGAGATGGAATCAGATTGCTGAAATCTTTAGTGGCCCCGTTCGCTTCGTTGAAAAAACAAGTCAAAACACTGTTCCGACTGATTTGTTGTGAGAGGAAAACACTGTTCCAGCTGAAAAAAAATAAGCTGAAAAAGACAGATTATAAGAGAAGCGAACATGTATATACACTGTACTGTACAAAATAACGAGAAATGTTAAGCATATCTTGTGGGTAAGTTTTTTTTTTTGGAAACAATAACAAGGACATAGAGTCATCAGTTAATTTTTTTTTTTTGACTAGTGACGTTTATTTTATTTGTCGGGGATGGAGGCTCGTGAGCATCAGGCCCATAAGCCCAACGTGACAGAGTACTGTAGAAATAGATCTAGAGTTTTCGGCCCGTCCTGGATAGTAGGCCTTCTTAGTACCACTTCACTCATGACTAGAAGCAACATCACAGTCCAAAAGCTTTCATGACAAACGTGAACACAGTTAAAAACAAAGGCGGCAAGTACGTTGCAGGACTTGCAGCAAGCAATTAAGAAACCATAGAAAAATGGCTTCACTAATAGTAGTACAGTACTGCTGAAAGAAGATTCGAGCAGGGCTCGCGCGGGATGGCAAGCCCTGGCGCGCAGGAGCAGGGCGACGCCGGAATCGATCGGCAGAGACATGTAAGCAGGAGGCCGTACGTCCGCAGCGCTCGTGTTCAGGACCGTGGGCATGCCGGCCGGTGCAGCACGCACTCGTTGACAGCTGCGAGCGGAGCGAGGCAGTCGGTGGCCGCCGCCGGGTTCACGCGGCGGGCGGTGAGTTCGGTGGCGCCAGCCGTACTGTAGCTGCATGCCTTCGCCAGCTTCTGGTTCTGGACGTCGGTTGCCGAAGACGGAGGAGGAGCTCACCGCCGGAGGCGACGCCCTCCGGGCTGCAGTGTTAAGCCTGTTTGGCTAGAATTAAAGCCGACTGATAAACTGGCTGAAGCTGTTTTGTTGTGAGAGAAAAATACTGTAGATTCTAGCTAATAAGTCAGTTGATAAGTTCAAATGAACAGGCCCTTCAACGGGTCAGGAGCAGAGGCAGAGAGCAGTAGATTTTTACATGCTGTGACGGGAAGACGACGTTGCATTGCAGGCGAAGGGTACCGTAGTTGTATAAGAACGTCACAAGTCAACAGAGCACACCCCACACCAAGAGCATCGCGAAATTCTGTTTCTGGGCCTGTTCGCTTTAACTTATCAGTCGACTTATTAGCTAAAATCTATAGTATTTTTTTCTTATAATAAATAGTTGCAGCCGACTTTAATATCAGCCAAACGGCCCTTGTCAACAGAAACAGCGAGCTCACCAAGAGCGTCAATGCATTAATTCTAGAAGTGGCAAACAATCCTCAGTTTAGGTGGTAGACAGAGTGACAGACGGCCGACGGCGACGGGGTATGTCCACTTCTATTACATTACTAGTTTTCCTTACTTTTTTATCATAAATTCAGTTTGTTCCCACGAAGATTCAAATTAACATGTGTGCGGATTGTGCTTTTGCTATTTGTCAATCCATGAACCATGCTTCTTAATAGCGTTATAAAATTACCGCAGCGATGCACACAATCTGATATACTTAAATGTTCATATAAGTCGACATTATTTAGGAACAAATGCATTTAAAAAATCGCTTGAGTCTTATACTATAATAAATAAGTAAATTAATCAAATACGATTGGCTTCGAGGATTTCTTGCATGACCCGCTTGAGCGCCCAGTCCTCTGTCACAATAGTACCGTGCCCAGCCCCATGAAGTTTGATGGACTTGTACAGCTTGTTCTGCTCCTGCTGCCGACGCATCTTCTCGTCGAACGCCAACATGCTGATCAAATTGATGGTATCGTCTCCGTCGCCATACACTATCTCGGGTTCCGCGTCGAAGTCGCCGTCCCAGTAAACCAGCTGCTCCGGCGTGTCGTTATTGCCCACTCCGTTGATGCACGTCGTCGGCACCATGGGGGCCTGGAAGGAGCTCATCTTTGGGACCGCTCGTCTCGTGAAAGGCTCCACGCCGGCGCCGAAGCCGATGTCGGCCAGGAGGTCCTCCACGTCGTAGGCAGAGTAGTTCCTCCGCGCGGTGACCACGAGCGGCCTGTCCCCGAACACCGCCGGGGACGGGAAGTTGACGATGGAGGACTCGAAGCTCCTCCACATGGGCCTCAGAATCAGCGCGAGCTGGGTGACCGTGGGGATGTACATCAGGTCGAACCCGGAGACGAACATCTGCAGCGTTAACGACGAGCCCTTCCGCCAGCACCGGAGCGACGAGGATGAGGTGCTTGATGTACCTGTCTCGCCACGACATGGGCGTGCTCCGCACGAACTCCAGAGCCACCATCCCCCCGAAGCTGTGCCCGAAGAGGATCACCTTCTTGTTCTCGTTCTTCTCGCTCGCGTCCTCGATGAGCCTCGTCAGCCGCCGGAAGTAGCGCGAGAAGACCTCCGATGACTGGCCGGGCACCGGCGGGGCGTAGCGGAGGTCGTACTGGGCGGCGAACAGGGTGTCGCCGTCGCGGTACCCGGCCTTTTCGAGCTCGTGTCTAAGGACCTCAAAGCATCAGGTCGTGTGCTCCGGGTTCCTCTTGAAGCCTCGGGAGGAGCCGAAGCCGCGCACGCGCGTCTCGACGCCGGGGAGGTTCCGGTAGTCGTTGGCGGCGGGGTCGTAGACGAGGGTCATCTGCTCGATGAAGCACTGCACGTAGTGGTGCGCGGGCAGGTCGGAGCAGTTGGCCCAGAGCCCGAACCAGCCCTTCCCCTTCATCGCGCCGCACCGCGGCACGGAGGGGCGGTAGGCGTCCGTGAGCCGCGCCTCCAGCTCGCTGCAGGTCAGCCCGGGAATCAGCACTGCTACAGGACGGTAACGGTCTTTAGTCCAGATTACCGCGTCGGGACAATGATCCCGGGACTAAAGGTGCCACCTTTAGTCCCGGGTCATCGAGCCGGGACTAAAAAACGGTTAGTATTACCAACCGGGACTAAAGGCCCTCCAGCTGAGTAAACGTGGCCGCACCTTTTAGTCCCGGTTGGTAACCCCAACCGGGACTAAAGGTTCCTTTTTTTCTTTTTTTTTGTTTAATTTGTTTTCAGTTCAGTTATACGTATTTGTTTAATATATAATATGTTTTTATGTACGTATTCTACGCTGCTAATATAAATACACGCACACATATAATTACATCTAATTCTCATCTCGAGCATTATTATATTCAAATAAAGTATGAACCTATATATATTATATATATATATGTATATATACAACACTTTCATAATCTTGTTCTCGAAAATAACGATATCAATAAACATTTAATTTACACCATTTATTCCTTAGAATTAAAGTAGAACTCGTCGTTGGGATTTAGCACTTTTTCTAGAAGAAATCCAGCTATTGACTCTTGAACTGCTTTCAAATAGTTTTTTTGCATGACCATTCGTTTCAACCATTCAGTCTTGCATTTGAAATAAAAGGAAAAGTATTAATACATATACATATATATATATATATATATATATATATATATTCATTTAAAGATAAATAAAAAATTGATATATACGTACTCTGAGGACATCTTTAGGAGTTCTTCTTATGTGCGTAGTGATAAATTCACAAACGTAGTATCCACACAAGTTATTACCTGGTTGCTGCCGTAAACACCACTGTACGAGAAGAAGATTATTCTCATCATCTCACACGTAAATTGAAGTACGATATAGTAATTAAACACGTGGGGAAGTGTATATAGTACAACTTACTTGTATTTCAACTACATTAAGTGGTGCCTTGCAATCCTTGCGATGTTGCCGAATAAACTCTTTCTAAACCCCAATGGCACCAATAATAATGCGATCGTTAATAAATTAAGGCAAAGTCTATTCAATAATAGTTGTGCGAGAGATCGAAATTACCCCTGAATAATGTCTATCATATCTTGGTATAGTGCCCGCTCTTTCTCTCAACGAGTCAAAGATTACTAACCGACTTGAGTTTAACTCAATGACAATGAGTATCCAAAGTGAAAACTGTATTGGTTTATACACACACGTATATGCATATAAGTTGTATTGATATTACATAAAATGTGTAGACTACATTATTATTAACACTTACTCAAAGTTGTATGGGAAAAGTATTGTTGTCTTGTCGTCTTTGCTTCACGAAGAACATCATGATATTCTCCTCTGCTTTCGTAGATACCACCGCTCCTTGATAATAATACCGGTTTTGAATACGATATAAGGATCAATGAAGCCAACACCGTGTGTCTTGTATTCTTTGGAGCTCGACATCCGAAATCTGTATATAAATATAAGTTACATGTGAGGATAATTATATACACGTACGCATGGAAGTGAGTTTATTAAATAAAAGTAAGAATCACTTACAAACAAAAGGAGCTAATGATTGATTTGTCCAGAGCGTCCAAGTGGTATAGTTGATGCAATTCTTCGAAACTAATATATAAGATGTCATCACCACGGAAGTAATGATGGTCTCTAAATCTGACAAAGATCCACTGCTCACCCCTGCCACACGCCTGCATGTACCACTTGTTGAGTAAGTACATTTGCGTACCCAATTCATTCAGAGCCGCAGGGTTGTACATACTTTTGCCATATTTATAAGTCTTCTAGGTATCAACTTCCAGGTTCTGGATTGGAGCTTTGCCCGTCAATTGATCCAAGGTTAAACCAGTATCTTCAAAAAAAGCATTAAGGGCTTGAACCGATACTTCTCTAGAGTTGTCTGGTCGATAGACTTCTATGTTGGAACCATATTTATTAGCAACAACAAGATTTTGCATTGGTTGCTTCTGTTGTCCGAACTATGGGACATCCTTCCCTGATGCTCTTTTCCTTTTCTTATCTGCATCATGTGACTTCACGAGGGAGCGGTCATAGTCTGATAGTGGCGAAGGCTTACGAAGTTCAATCATCTTTTTCTTGTGAGCATCGACCTTCTGCCTCAGCACATCTCGTGGTATGTAAAAGTACGGCTTCTCCTTAAGCTTTCGCTTGACTCTTGTTTTTGATATCTATAAAAAAATCTTTTACTTTTTTGTCTTCTTTAGCTGCTATTTGCTCATCAGTCTTTTCAGAAAGTATTTCTTGAGAAATAACTCTTTTTCTCGGGGTCTTCTTTGCCGCCGGGACCTTAGACGTCTTTGTAGTGCGTCGCTGTGGAGGGGGTGGGGGCGGTGTTGGAGACCGGCGTGGAGGCGATGAGGCCGGTGTTGGTGGAGACCGGCGTGGAGGCGTTGGAGATCGTTGTGGAGGCGGTGGGGCCGGTGTAGGAGTTGGAGATCGTTGTGGAGGCGATGGGGCCGGTGTAGGAGTTGGCGATCGCCGTGGGGATGAAGTTGTCTTGCCCCCCGCGACGCTGTGATGAGATGGGGAATGAATGATTAGGCTAGGCTGGGGGGAGACCCTGCTCCAAAAACAATTTGTGTGTCAATTATTTTTGAAGCCAATAGAAAATTAATGGAAAATAATATTTCATTCACTTTCATTCGTACCTAGGGTGAGGTAGGGGAAGCGGTGGCGCCCCAGGAATGATGATGAAGCGTTTGCGCCATTGAATAAATGTCTTCTCCGCTTCTCCTAGTGTCTTCTCCCCATCATCGCCTTCGATGTCAAGAGGAACATTGATGTAACCTTTGAGCACTCTATCGACCGAGACGCTAGCATATCCAGGTTGAATAACTGACCCATGGATTCTTGGTGTCTTCGTTCGATCTATTGGAGATACAACCCCGACAGCCACCATGATTGATGCATTATTACCATCTGGAATGTGTAGCTCACATGTTGTTAGAGGCTCGGTAATGTCATCAACAGGGAAGCGCAATCCAGCGTCGTCTTGAATAACTGGCAGCTCCGTAGAAGCACAACTGCTTTTCATCTGACCAACGGGGCTAATGGTGACTCCCGGCGTTGATTGCGATTGCATTTGACTCATTGCTAGCTGCACTTGTCTCTTGATCTCCTCCTGCATTCTTGCCTCAAGAGATTTTTCTCGTTCACGTGATTCAAGCAATGCTTGTCGTGACTCATCAACAAATTGCTCAAATGCACGGATTCGTTCTGCCTCCTCATCCTTCTTTCTCTGACGGCTTCTATAGGTATCCTTGTCTGCTGGGAATGCGTGTAGCCACGGAACCGCCCCATAGCCTCTTGTTCGACCACCATGTTCGGGATTCTCTAGGGCATATGTCAATTCATCCTTCTCTCTGTTGGGCTTGAAAACACCACTATCGCCTTCTTCCCTAGCACGAGCTAGTCTCTGTTTGCTCTCTCATTTTTTTGGCCAAAATTAGCTTGCAGTTGTCCGGGTCTAGGCTTCCCCATGAGTGTAGAACCAATTCTTCGCGTTGAGGCCAGCTTCTTCTCTATTGTTTCAGTATGATTCCCTTGGCGGTAATCTCTCGCTTCTAGCTTCGCCACTTGGGAATAGCACTCCTATAACCACCTGATCCCATGCGATGATGGTATTGCTTCCATCCGGGCATTCTCGCCGATTTCTCATCACACATTCCTCACCGCCTTGAGATGTCTTGTATTCTACGAAAGGCATCCCAATGGGACTCAACTTGACAAACGCCTTTAGCATTGAAATCCGCGTAGTATGTTTCAAGATAAACTTTTTATACAATGTCTTCTTCCAACTCTGGAACAACGTTGCCATCTTCTTCATTGTCCAATCCCTCACTAGCTCCTTCAAAGCTTCATCTGCTTGTAATGTGAAATGCTGAGTGATATCTCTCCAAGCTAGGTTCTTGTCACGATTAGATACAAAACTAACATTAGGAGCGGATATCTTCTGCTTCCATTCACGAGCACTAACTGGGATCCTATCCCTTATAATGAACCCACATTGATTGACATATGTCTGAGCATGTGGTCCCAATGGTTTGCCGGTGTCGGTGTCGAATTCTGATATTATGAAACGGCCCTCTAATGGCTTTTTTGTCCCTCGAACTTTCCTACTTTTGTCGGTGGTTGATGTAGATCCAGAGACCGGCTACATGAGTAGAAACACAACGATTAACAACAAATATACCTCGCCAGTATTTTCTTGCGCGACAATTTGTTGATCTTCAACCACCGGCATATTCAGGATATCCTCATAATCAGCAAAGTACTCACTCGTGTCATCTACATCCACATTGGTGCCGGCGTTGATAATATCCGCCATTATGTCATCATCTGGAGCAGCCATTTGTATCTTCAAGATAACACATAGATAGAATTACTATGGTACATAACATAAGTACATGTGATAACACATATAGAATTACTAAATCCAATTAAATATAATAACACATAATATTTCATAAGGATAAACAATAATAAGGTATAGGCTTTGGAATCGAATCAAAAACACTTTCGATCCAAAAACATGAAAATAAGTACATGTATATATATACACATAGAATGATACAATATATTTTGTCTCTCTCAACATATAGAAATAAGTGCATATGTCTATATCTCTAGATATGCATGTGATAACACATAGAATGTCTCTCTAGATACAATTTTCTCTCTCTCTCTCAACACATGAAAATAAGTACATGTATATATACATATAGAAATAATTAAGTACATATGTATACATATAGAATAATCTCTCTCTAGATATATATATATAGAGATAGAATATATAATTACTAAATCCAATTAAATAAATCTAACATGAAATTAGATAAACTAGTAATAGATAATACATTTTAATCTAAAATATATCAAAAACTATAATAAAAAACT